GTAGTCTCCTTGAAGTATGTTTACAGTTTCTAGGGTTGTTGGTAGGTATTACCATAAAGTGGAAGGAATTGATACATTGTATTTGTGATTATTACTTTTTGTGATATGATAATAACCTCTGATTTGTTTTTTTTACCTATCTTGTTTTATATAATGTTTGTTGAAAATATTGAAAATAATGCACTATTATAATAACCCCAATGGGTTGATGGCACACATGAAAACAAAATAACACATTACATAATACATCACAAAAATAATTAAAAAAAGACATGAATTCATATATATGTACATATCTAAATAAAAGTTGTGGCAAAGTGAGACATCACAGACAGACACACTTTTATGTTTAGGAACCAAAAAAACCCAACCTTGCCAGGACATATTCTCCAATTTTGTATCATGCTTGAAATTTATACATGTTATAAGAAGACATTCACTTATTTTATGATGATTGTAAAATATTTCTCCCTTTTCATAGAAATGACATCATCTGATCATTGTCAAATTTTCTTATTGAAATTATGCAGAAGAAAGTAACACATAGGAAACTGGAAAGTTGATTCTTGCAAAAACAAGAATAGGTGGACAGCTTTTTTGATAACAGAAAACAAGATCTTGCCCTACATATTCATATACATACATGTACCTGTGGTTGCTGTAAAGTGTAACACTTAAACCTTATTGTACCTGTAGTAATCTAATTATGTTGTAAAGAACCTCTTATTGTATTGATTTTGATTGAGTCTTGTAAAGCATGCACATTGATGAAAACTTAATAAAATTTCTTGAAGGACAAGTACATACTTCAGAAATAGAAATATAGTTTGTGAAGTTGTGTTAGACACTATCATTGAATATCTTTAATGAATAAAAACATATTTTAAATTGGTTAAATAATTCAACTTTAATTCAGTAGATTTTTATAATGTAGAAGTTTTTGTACAACATTTATTTACAGAATTTCATCAAACGTAAGGATTGAGCATAACCATGTTGGCAATCATACCACATCTCCTTGTTTTGATATTTTAAAATGATTATTTTTGGATCCATTTTTGTCGAGCCGTGATCCGTGGCGGCGGCGGCGGCGGCGTTAGCTAACTTCTTAAAAGCTTTATATTTTAGAAGATGGAAGACCTGGATGCTTCATACTTTGTATATGGATGCCTCATGTTACAAAGTTTCAGTCAGTCACATGTCCAATGTCCTTGACCTCATTTTCATGGTTCAGTGACTACTTGAAAAAAAAGTTCAGATTTTTTGTAATGTTAAATTCTCTCTTATTATAAGTAATAGGATAACTATATTTGGTATGTGCGTACCTTGCAAGGTCCTCATGCCCGTCAGACAGTTTTCACTTGACCTCGACCTCATTTCATGGATCAGTGAACAAGGTTAAGTTTTCGTGGTCAAGTCCATATCTCAGATACTATAAGCAATAGGTCTAGTATATTCGGTGTATGGAAGGACTGTAAGGTGTACATGTCCAACTGGCAGGTGTCATCTGACCTTGACCTCATTTTCATGGTTCAGTGGTTATAGTTAAGTTTTTGTGTTTTGGTCTGTTTTTCTTATACTGTATGCAATAGGTCTACTATATTTGGTGTATGGAATGATTGTAAGGTGTACATGTCTAGCTGGCAGGTGTCATCTGACCTTGACCTCATTTTCATGGTTCAGTGGTCAAAGTTAAGTTTTTGAGTTTTGGTCTTTTTTTCTAATACTGCATGCAATAGGTCAGCTATATTTGGTGTATGGAATGATTGTAAGGTGTACATGTCTAGCTGGCAGGTGTCATCTTACCTTGACCTCATTTTCATGGTTCAGTGGTCAAAGTTAAGTTTTTGAGTTTTGGTCTTTTTTTCTAATACTATATGCAATAGTTCAACTATATTTGGTGTATGGAAATATTTTATGATCTATATGTCAGTCACGCAGGTTTTATTTGACCTTGACCTCATTTTCAAGGTTCATTGCTCAGTGTTAAGTTTTTGTGTTTTCGTCTGTTTTTCTTAAACTATAAGCAATAGGTCAACTATATTTGTTGTATGGAAGAATTGTTAGCTGTACATGCCTGCCTAGCATGGTTCATCTGACCTTGACCTCATTTTCATGGTTCATTGGTCAATGTTTAGTTTACTTGGTTAATGTTAAGTTTATGTGACAGTTGTAATAAAACTTTATATTTAGGACTATCAACATAATATCAATGATTAGTAAAGAAGGCGAGACATTTCAGCGTGTGCACTCTTGTTCTTGATATTGATTGTATTACAGCAAAGAGAGTCAACTAATACTAAAAAAAGAAATACATTTTCTGCTCATTATAATCATGATAATTGATCTATTTGAATATTGTTTTATTATTTTTATTGATGGTAAATGATTGTAGTAACATATACATCTATCATGTCTATATACCTACATGTACATGTATATATATTTGTGATCTTTAAATAAATTAAATTTGAGAAATTGATACATCAACAGATCAAAGAAGCACATTTGAGGGGTGTATATTTTTTGTTTACATGAGTAACATATTAAGAAAGGTAAAATTTAGTGACTAACAAAGTACATATATGGTTTTTAATTTTTTTTCAATTTCAATTGACAATTTCATTTAAAGGCCAAAAATGTTAAGTGATCCATAAGAATACATGTTTAAATGGTAACTAAATATTTGTTTACAAACTTCATTTGATTAAAGGCATATAATGTTTAGTTTACTTTAAGTAAAAAAAAGAACCAGTGATCTGGTCACACATTATGTATTATATTCTTTATTCCAAAAGCAATGTTACAGCTAATAGTTAACAGTGCAATATTATATAAATAACACATAGCTGAGAGGGTGATAGAGTAGATTGTTACCCCGAGAAAACATTGTCAACTGAGGCGAAGCAAAGGTTGACAATGTCTTTTCAAGGGGTAACAATCTGCTCTAACACCCTCTCAGATATGTGTTATTTAATTTATTATACTGAATGTTCTGTTAATACTGTCAATTAAATTTCAAATTCAAAGTAACAAACTATGTCGTCTTGTATATAACAATCATCCGTATTTATCAAAGCGTACACTTGAGCAAGTGTCTCCGTGAAGGGTAATAGAGTATTTGCCATGGGATAGAGTAAATTGTCTCCCTCGTATTAACCAATCAAAATCTGGCATTTTGACATGAAGTATAATAAAATATATTATAGGATAGTAAGCATCACATACACAAATGACATAGTAAATAATTTATACGATTTCAGAGCATGATGTTCACTTATCATGCTTATACAATTTAATATCATCTTGAGCATGATATTTATCTTGTTTATAATTACAATTTAAACATCTTTGAAGCATTATATTAACATTAAACATGTTTAAGAGTTACAAATTCTTTCAGCAATATATAAAAACACTTTACAATATTATTATTTAAAATTTTAATAAATTGAATAGCAAACAGATACATTTGTAACAATTGTATAAGTTTAAATGTTGATGGATTTCTTCAGTAATAATTTTTGTCTTGCTTGCGACAAATGTTACAGAATGTAAGACTTAGGGATTACTACCCATTGGCGGCAGCAGCGGTGTAAACTATTTGTATAAAGCTTTATATTTCAAAAGGTAGACGACCTGGATGCTTCATACCTTGTACGCAGATACTTTATATTACCAAGCTTCCATATGTCATTTGTCCTTGACCTTATTTTCATTCTTGAAAAAAATGTGTAATATTTTGTCATGTGAAGTACTCCCTTTTTATGAGTAATAGGGTAACTATATTTGGTAGATGGGATCCTTGCAAGGTCTACATGTAGGTCAGACAGGGTTCACCTGCCCTCAACCTCAACCTCATTTCATGGATCAGTGATCAAAGTGAAGTTATCATGGTCAGTGCTTTTCCCAGATACTATTAAGCTATATTTGAACTACTGTCCATATTTGGTGTATGCAATGATTGTAAGGTGTACATGTCTGGGTATAGTCTTTGCCTGCAATAGAAATGGATCTTCTATACAGATGTTTATGACTTGAAGTTTCCCTTGGGCATCTATGTCTGTTATCCTTGACCTTATTTTCAAATACTATCAGACAGGTCACTTGACCTTTACCTCACTTCATAGTCCTAAGATACTATCTTTAATAGATCAACTGTATTATTTCGTAAATATAGGTTTGACAGTGTATAGGTCCAATTCATTTTGTATGCAATATATATGAAATGATTGGAGTAAACAATAGACTTATGTTGAATCATTTAAAAGTTAGTTCAATTTTCTACAAAACTCTTATTTAATTTTTTATATCAATATATTTTGTAATTAAAAAGAAATTCAAAACTTTCCTTTTTCTCATTTAGGAAGTGGCACTGTAAAAAAAAGGCAAATTGAACTGACTTGTATTACACATTATCATCACAGGTACTTGACTCCAAAAAATAAAATTACATATATACCTAAAAATAAAATGTTATGGTATATAGGACATTTTTTACAGAGATTATCATGCGTATAAATACATGTATTATAAAACATAGATAATTAAGAAAACAAGATTCATTCGATAAATATTCATGGTTTTAATCAAAAGATATATTTCCAATGAATTTTATAGCTATATAGGTTTAAATACCATATCAGGACATCTCAGTACTTTGCACTTTAAAGAATTTGAAGCTTCGTTGGGTAGTTCAGGTAATATCCAGTTATGTTTATTTTTGGCAAATTGTAAAATCAATATTTTTAATCATCTTAATGTGGCTTGCAGTTTAGGATATATATTGCTGATATCAATGACATTGTTTTTTCATTAGTTAAAATTTTAATACCTTTGGCATTTAAACAAAAAAAAGTCTTTATTAGTAGTTTCAAACAAAGGAACGACTTGTGTATTACTTTTATCTTTTATGTGACTGTTTAACATAATGCAGTCTGTAAGTTCCTGTTCGAAATCCCCTATAATTTCCTTGTAACATGTAAATACAAATTGTTTATTTTTGTCAGAGATCTTTTGAAACACAGCTCACAACACACTCCATTGGGTCTATATATATGTATAGAAAGGTTTTAATATCGAAACACACTTAGAATGGAATGAAATATTGATGTGCTGAGAATATATACCTGGCTATAAACTTATTGAATACACTTTAGAATAACTTGTTTTAAAAGGATACAATATCTGTTTTTTAATCTGGATTAGTTGTCAGTGCAGTTCTGTTGAAGAGTCATTTATTTTGTGTAAATTTACAGTGCCATATCTAAAGTATCTTGCCATTGGAACTTTGATTAACCTGGCCATCTACATGTGTAATTAGTTTCATATATTATTTATGTCTTTCTAGTCGGACATATTGGTGCATTTGTTGTTGATTTCTTGTCAGCCATATTTGTGCATAATTGTTAACTTCCAGTCTGACATATCTGAACTGTTGTCGATTTCCAGTTGAACATATCTGAATTGTTGTTGATTTCCAGTTGAACATATCTGAATTGTTTTTGATTTCCAGTTGGACATATCTGAATTGTTTTTGATTTCCTGTGGACATATCTGAATTGTTTTTGATTTCCAGTTGGACATATCTGAATTGTTGATTTCAAGGTGGACATATATCCAAACATTTGTTGATTTTAATACATATTTGTGAAAAATGATGATGTCAGTGATATATAATGGTATGTCCTATGAAGATGGTGACATTGAGGAAGATAACAAACAGAACAATAATATAACAGGGATACAAACCATATCACAAACAGTCGATCATGGTCAGGGTGTCCTCAGTAGACAAAAGTCAAGAAATAGTAGGACAAATTCTGACAACTCTAGAACAAGCTCTAGAGACATTCAGTATGGGAATAATGGACAAACAAATGGAGTGTATATACAGACTATATCTTATACTGTTGACAGTTGTGTTAATAATAACATTTTTACTCCTATTCCACAAACAGGTAATAATGTTTTGCTTTGTTTTTATAAATACTAAATGATTCATAAAAATACCCCTTTAAGACTTTTTGTCCCCCGCGTGACGTGGGACATGGAAATACTGGGCGTCCATCTGTCCGTCCGTGTGTCTGTCCGTCCGGATTAGGATACATTGTTTATCCGGCTATCTCCTCCTACAGTTTTGGAGGTATAACTTTAATATTTTGTAGGATGTTCATAAACATAATGAAGGTGTGCATGGCCACAGGATTTTGATTTTTTTCAAATATTCTGAAAATGACAGGTAGTTGGACTTAGTCATTTTTTTGGTACTATCATGGTTTGTCCGGCTATTTCCTCCTACTGTTTTAGAGGTACAGCTTTAATATTTTGTAGGATGTTCATACACATAATGGAGGTGTGCATAGCCACAGGATTTTGATTTCTTTTAAATATTCTGAAAATGATAGGTAGTTTGACTTAGTAATTTTTTTGGTACTAGCTGCATAAAGAGATCATGGTTTGTCGGGCTATCTCCTCCTACAGTTTTAGAGATACAGCTTTGATATTTTGTAGGATGTTCATACAAATAATGGAGGTGTGCATGGCCACAGGATTTTGATTTCTTTTAAATATTGAGGGGCCTGATGGGTTATTTTCGTTCTTTGTGATCGGCGCATTTTCACTATCGTGATCCGTTTTTCTACAGATTTTTTTTTTTTATATTTTCGTGATCCGTGATCATGGAAATTTATTTTCTGTGAATCGTGATTGACAAAAAAATCAACTCGTGAATCGTGATGAGACCCCCCCATCAGGCCCCTCAATATTCTGAAAATGACAGGTAGTTGGACTTAGTCATTTTTTGGGTCAGGCGGGGGCATCATTTGTGTCTTACAGACAGCGTAACAATTTCAAGTTGTATGCCAACATCACTTGTCAAATCTAAAATATGTGGAACTATACTCATGCATATGGCAGAGCAGAAAAAGGGGGGGGGGCATTGTCCATATCTAATATCTAGATTACAGTCGGAAATATTTGAAAATCAAAAATGTACCTGACATCAAGCCATTTCAATATTAGAGAACTTGATTTTATTACTATGAAAATACATGACTGTGATAAATGATTCTTGATTACCTTGATGAGTTAATTTAGTTTGGGCCTTGGCTGTTGCTTCAGCAAAGTAGCACTATAGAAGTTCTGACAGCAGAAATATTCTTTTGTCTTTTTCAGAATTACATCTGATCACAAATGGGGTAATGATTCATTATTATATTATAATACTATCATGGTTATCAGTGAATTTAAAGTCTTGAAAATATTTTCTTTTCCAGAACCACCAAGACCCCCACCACCTATTGTAGGTAAAGTTACACACTACAGTATAGAATTATATTGGGAAGAAGCCTTAGCCAAAGCTTATGACGGTACTACTAAAGATGCTGGCAGAATTAAAATTTGTTTACAAGAAGAAGATAAACACAATTCTTGGGGAAACATATACACGTAAGTTAAGTCTAATCTTGGAGAAACATATACACGTAAGACATGTAAGAAGTCTAATCTTGAGGAAACATATACACGTAAGTAGTCTAATCTTGGGGAAACATATACACGTAAGTTAAGTCTAATCTTGGGGAAACATATACACATAAGTAGTCTTAATCTTGAGGAAACATATACACGTAAGTAGTCTAATCTTGGGGAAACATATACACGTCAGTAGTCTAATCTTGGGGAAACATATACACGTAAGTAGTCTAATCTTGAGGAAACATATACACGTAAGTTAAGTCTAATCTTGGGGAAACATATACACGTAAGTAGTCTAATCTTGGGGAAACATATACACGTCAGTAGTCTAATCTTGGGGAAAAATATACACGTAAGTGGTCTAATCTTGAGGAAACATATACATGTAAGAAGTCTAATCTTTGGAATCATAATACATGTTAATAGCCTAATCTTGGGAAAACGCATAAGTATTCCAATTCTTGGGGGAAAATATATACACGTTAATAGTCTAATTCTTGGGGAAACTTAATACACACAAGTTGTCCAATTCTTGGGGAAACACATAACGGTACACATAAATAGTCTTATTCTTGGGGAAACATATGATCTGGTATACATGTAAAAATAGTCCATTGATTCTGGTGGTCTTATATACTTATTAAACCATAGTTTCCATGTCCATGTTAAAGTATTTTGAAATTGGCAAGCATTTAGCAAGGTGTTTAATATTTCCAAACTAAATCATGAAATAGAAAAGTCAGCAATTGCAATTGGATTGCAGTGATCTGGTGATATAATTTACACTAACTTCCTTTCTCTAGCATTGAGATTTTATTATACTCCCGCTTTAAAAAAGTGGGGGTATACTGTTTTACCTCTGTCGGTCAGTCCGTCCGTCCCATGAATATTTTCAAGTGGGGGTATACTGTTTTACCTCTGTCTGTCCGTCAGTCCAACCGTCCGTCCCATGAATATTTTTCGTTGCATCTTTCTCAGGAACTACATCATAAGGATTTCTGAAATTTGGTTTCAGGGTTTATATAAGTCAGCTATACCGTGTGATGTGTTTTCAGATTCATCACTGAACAACTTCCTGTTTACAGAACACTTACATATTTTTACACTATTAAAATTATCCAGTTGCGGCGGGGGTATCATCAGTGAGTATTAGCTCGCAGTTGCACTTGTTTCTCATTAGTTGATCAGTTTGAGGATATGATTGTTCAATTCAAACTTCAACTTTGGTGTTGTGAAAGTGGAAATCCTCCTGGATAAACAGTAATTATACATATTCTTCACAAGTCAATAGTCTTACTTTACATTAAACACTTTGAATTCATATTTCCAACATAATCATGATAATGTAACCTTCAAACCATACCAATTTATAGTTATATAAACCAGGAGGGTTATGAGGAAGAATCTACTGTCTACAAGAGAAATTGTAACCATCCAATGTTTCAATGTTATTCACACCCTTCTTCATGTATTTGTTCAAGATGAATTGTGAACGTGCAAAATTAGTCTCAACGTTCAAAACCTATCTCCTATTTTGATAGTCAGCATTGGGGTGGTAAATGAAAACATATGGATAATTGAGTCATGTGATCAATCCTTGGGTCTACCAAATATCAGATTACTCTTAATGAGCGCGAATATAAAAGGAAAAAATTGATTTTGAAAACATGTCCATCCAAAAATTTGAAAATGAGACAAAATCCATTATTTTTCATTACGTTTTGTTCTAAAAAAAAAAAGGAAAAAGTCTTTTTTATTAGATTTATATATTTTGTTCTTTATTTCATTGATCTCATATATGATAATATTTACTCGTGAATATTTACATTAATCTGATTATTTTATTTTCATATATACAATTTAGTTGAATTACTGTATTTAAAATCTTAAATATGCTATTCATATTTTTTTATTTGAATTCTTTGTTTGTTGCTTTGAGTAGAGTGGTGTATATTTCGACATATAAATAAACATAGATTTGTAAGAAATGATCAGCAAATTTGACCTGGACACCATCTAAAGAATGGAGAAGTCCTAGTGTTAAGGCAAAATCTCTGATTTATTAAAGACTCAATGTCTCCAAATGTTGTAGTTCATACTTTGGTATAAACATATCTTTTAAATTATGCAATAGTCTTTAATGCAAAATGTACTACTTTCTGATTAAAATCGTCATACAAATCAGGTAACAAACAAAAGTAATGGTATGGTAACAACCAGCCATATATTTTTTATGCTCTCAAAGTCAGGTTAAGGTCCTCTGCTATCACATCAGACCTTGACCTGACTACTCGTGCAGAAAAACTTATATGAACAACATGCATTAGATCAATGAAAATACATGAAAAATACACTGGCTACCAACCAATCAAATTCCAGTATACTTTATATGTAAGGTTTCATTGAAGATACCAATTCTGGCTTTTAAGGTGTAATTAAGATTTAAAAAATATCTTTTATTGCATGTTGGATACATGTCAATATTTGTAAACAGTGGTTACCTAATATCTGCAAGTCAGTTCTTTAAAAGAATATGCTATAGATCTAGATTCTAACAAGATATTGAGTCTGTTTGAATTTATATCTGTAATTAATGCCATATTACAATAAAGTTTAATTGTTAATGGGTTATATGATACTTGGACTAATATTAGTACACTGAGTATTTGTTCCATTACAAGTGCAGTGTAAATAATTGAAATAAAATCTTTGACTTATTCATAAAGGTTTTAAGCTTTAAAGCATACATTAATAATGCTTATAAACTTTTAACAGAGCATATTTTTATCATGTTTATACATCATATACTTATACAAATTAGCTTAAAATGGTAAAACTTGCACCCTGTAAGGATAGAAAATAGTTAATTAGGCTGAGTAATACATTTATGTAAAACTACAGAAGTAAGTATTGAACATGTAAATATATACATATACATTCTGTACACCATATTTATTTACTTTTGCTATATATATATATATACATTGTATACAAGTGACCAGAAAAATTTATCTAATGTGGTAGTAAGAAAATATAACATCTTGATCTCAACCCACAATTCCTTTTATTAGGTAGTAGTGTCTAACATATATATATATTGAAAACCATAATAGAAAGATAAAATCTGAAAGGGTAAAATGCTTATAGGAGTTATTGCCCTTTAAAACATTTTTTAAAAAACAATTTAAGCTTTTTCTGCTGTGGATTCATTTGATATTAATGTGGATACCAATTTTTGTGGATTGCTGAAAAATTGTATTTTCCTGGACATTTGATTTCATGGCTTTGCCAAAGTTTGCATACAATCCTATAGACAATTTGTATTTTGTTAAATATTTAACTTCATGGTTCACCTTTACCAATAAAATTCACATAATTTGGTATCCCACAAAATAATATATCCACAGTATCTAGAAGATTGAAACTGAAAAAAATTGATTTGCAACATAAGACCCATAAAATTAGAAATAATGACTCAACTATAAATTGTTAAAAAAAATTGTAATTGTCCTACATGTCCTAGATGATAAATTTTAATTATTGCCTAATTATCTTTACAAAAAATGAACACATTGAAAATTATCTTCAATATAAAAGATCTACAAAAAAAATAAAGAAATAAATAAGATTATCCATTGTCTCCTTTTAGGAGTTATTGTCCTAAAATTACCAATTGTAGTGAGTATCTTGAAAACAAATATATATAGACCACATTTTTATTAAACAGCAAAAAGTATTAGCTCATTTCAAAATCTAAAAGGAACATTAGTCAATAGTATGATTTTTATAGTTTGTTCTTATGTTGTACTGTTACACCACTGTCCCAGGTTAGGGGGAGGGTTGAGGGCTCACAAACATGTTTAACCGCACCACATTCTTTATGTGCCTGTCCCCCCAAGTCAGGAGCCTGTAGTTCAGTTGTTGTCGTTGGTTCATGTCTGTCATATTTGTTTTTCGTAAATTTTTTGGTATAAATTAGGCCGTCAGTTTTCATGATTGAATTGTTTCATATTTTTCATGTCGGGGCCTTTTATAGCCGACCATATGGTATGGGTTTTTCTCTTTGTTGAAGGCCTTATGGTTGCCTATAATTGCTTACATCCACTTCATTTGAACTTTGGTGGATAGTTGTCTCATTGGCAATCATACCACATCTCATTATTTTTATATAAATACCATGTGATCAATATTAGCTTCATTGGAAACTCTAGTTATTATTAGTTTTTACTTTGTTTTTCAAGTAGAACATATGAACAGAATGGGAATCTAGAAAGTGATTTATCATGGTCTCAATTAAATATTTTCCCATGGAACTTCAAGTGGCTTTGGAATCATTGTTATTAGCTAAAAAAATTAGGTCATTTTCAATATTTTTGTTGTATATGATATTTCAGTGATCTTTACTATTTGAAAGTTCTGCTTTTATTACTCTTTAAAAAAATATAATTCAATAGTTCTATAGGCTGTATATTATCGTTGTTAGCAATTCCTATGAAACTGCGTTATCAAAAATCGACTGTTTATATACTATTGTTATAACCCTTTTGACAGCTCTTTTTGATACGCAATTTAAGTTTATACATATTTTTATTCTGTCAATAATAATCAATAACCTTGATCCGAATAGTAAACCACTACTTAAATATAATGTATTTTAATACAACGATCTAAGGACGAATATCAAACATATAGGTATAAGTATTGAACAACGGTAAAGCAGACGGTTATAAGGTCATAGGAGAATGCTCAATGAATTTCCCTTATTTTTCATGTGTCACCCCTAATCCTTTGCTTTAAATGAAATAAGTGTAAGGTTTACAAAATTACATAGTAATTACAGAAAATTTAATTCTACAACTGCAAATTACATGTTTCTTATTTGATGTTAATAATGGAAACTTATCCTGGTCTTTTGTATATATGTTTGTTGTGAATTATTTTTGCTTCAGTTCAAATGAATTGCAAACGAAAGC